CATTCAAATTCAAGCTGAAAAAAAAGCAAATCAATTGCCCAAATTGATTTCAGCCTGCCCAGGTCTCTTGAAGAGCAACACAGCTGCCACAGTCACCCGCTGGACTCCAGTAAGTCCTAGAGGCAGAAATGACATCAAATCTGGAGGATTATTTTTAAATACAGATTGAAAGGCCTTGGTTTTGGAAATGAGAGATGATTTTTGGTTGCTGGTTTAATTGAAAAAATAAAAATAAAAATTATGTATCAACTGCAACGAATCTGAAGAAAATTCATGTGCTGCTGAGGCTTCCTTTGGAAAAAAAATCTACAAAAAGCAACTTATCTTTTAGCTACATACAACATATGTTGGATGAGATTATTTCTTCTGTTAAGTGATTTGATGATTGCAAGCAATTACTGATATCAGCACTAGGAAGCAGTATCTTGAATTTACAGAAATGGGGCTGCTGGAGTGTTTAAGGGTTTGAGAAGGCAAGTTCTCATGGGTCCTAAGAGAGGAGAAAGGAGGATGAGCTGGGCTGCAGGCTAGGATGAGATGAAGGATAAATGAATCAAATAAAAGCTTACAGAGATCAATATCTGGGGTTTCTGGCCAGCTGCAAGGATTAGAGAAGAGTCTGAGGAGCAGTGGTGGGCTGACCTGGCTGGCAGCTAAGCCCCACATGATGCTTGCCATGAGAAAAGAGACTAGAAAGAGCAGAACTGACAAAAGTTATGGGTCAAGGTTAAAAATGTTCAATAAGCAAATGAAAGAGGAAGAAGGAATTTAAAAAATAAACACAAGTGGTGCAAAGGAGATTTCCCACCACCCCCCATTCATCCTTCACACTGGGGTTGCCCCCTGCTGCCACCCCCTTGCCACATCACCCCAATGCAGACCCCCAAACTTTGGATGCTTGGACCCTTAAGATGGGTGCTGGACCCTAAAAGGAGGTTTTGGGTCCTAGAACTGAGGGTTGGAGCCCTTAAAAATGAAGCTGTGGATGCTCAACGGGAAGCTCTGAAATGCCAAACCAAAGCTCTGATCCCCAGAAATGGGGTATGGACCCCAAAATGGTGCTTTGGGGCCCTGAAATGAGGTTTAGGGTCTGCCAACTAGCCTTTGCTCCCTCAGAAGTCTCACTACACCCAAAAATGAGGCCGTATCTGCTTGAAGGAGGGCTTGGGGCTTACCGTGGAAATACAGCCCCAAAAACTGAGGCTCTGGGACCTAAACAGAAGGGTTTGGGCCCTAAACAGGAGATATTAGACTCTAAAACACAGGGTGGAAGCCCTTAAAAGGATGTTTTGGACCCTAAAATGAGGTAGCCAAAGCAGCAGTGTGCCATCAGCACTGCTGCGAGCACAAATATGGAATGACACCACAAGGACCGCTGTGACGAAAATTAACCCTAATTAATTATCCCTCGCAGGGTGAAATAAATAACAAACCGCACGGCACAAGTCCCATTCCTGCCCCTTCAGCATCTGCAGCCGCCTGCCCCAAGTCAGCCGGGCAAATCCTTGTTTATAAGCACTGCCTTGTCATGTCCCAATTAAAATAGCTCTTTGGGGAAAATGAAAATAAAAATTAAAGCAATCTGGGAGCAAAAAATAGAGCAAACTTGCCAGCACTATGGTTTTTGGTTTGGTTTGGTGCCTTTTTTTTGCTAATGTGCAAAAAAGCAAGCGACCTCCGGACCTCAACCACCAGCAGCCTCCAAACTGAACACGAGAGCCCTGCTGAGAGCTGCAGGGATCGCCCAGCTGCCAGCATCTCCACCTCTCCCCAGCCAACTTCCCTCTCCCGCTGGAGAGAGGGCAGCATGTCCCACGGCCTCTGGCCTCTGTCTTTCTGCTCCCTGGCATAACAGCCTGGACCTGGGCACCTGGAGAGTGATCCCTGTGCCGTGGGTTGGGAACCAGCTCCTGCTGGATGCCCCAGAGCTCCATCCTGCCTGAGTGTGCTTCAGCTGCGCAGCACGTACCTGCAGCTGTGTCCTGAATCTTTCTCATCTCGGCTCCAACAGCCTTTGATCTCTGCTCAGACATGGAAACTGCTACTAAAACCAGCAAGGAGGTTTTCTCCTCTCTCTTCATGTCCATTTCTGACATGTCTGTGCTGTGTAGTGCTGGAAATAAACTTGGACATGCACGTCAATCATTTTTGGGTTTTACTTTTTGAGATACTGCTTCCATAGTTCCAAGATCTCAGCTTGTGTGGGGGGTCTGTCCTCTCCCAGGCGCCTTGCTCTTGACGGTTCGGACACCAACGTCTTGGATGTACCGTCCAGGGTGGGCAGCAGCAGGGAGGTGTTATAGCGAGGCCTCCGGGGCAGGCTCTCCTCAGAACTCGGTGATGATACGACGATTGTAGGGAGTCTCTTTGCAGCTGGAGGTCTCAAAGAGAAAGGCAGCTTCTTGGAGCTTGTCTTTGTTGGAATCTTTGGCAGTCCACCAGCATGGAGGACTGTGTCCACTCCTCGCTCTTCTCCAGTGAGCCCCGGAGTTGTCGCTGCCCACACTCGGTCCATCCCTCGTGTTCCGTTTCTGGCTGTGAGTTTGTCCTGGTCTTGGCTGGCCAAAGGCTGGTTTTTGGCAGGAGGCAGCCCTGGGATTGCTGGCAGCTGGCTGAAAAACATCAAAAAAGACTGCATGAGCACACGATGGCACTGGGGCCGCATCCTGCACCCTGAAAACGTGACCCTGCTTGCATACCACCCCCCATCCACCCCTCCGGTGCTGCTTTCAGCACTGCGGGGCACCCCCAGCCCGCAGTGTTTGGGCTGGGCGAGGGGCTCCCTGCTGGGAAAAGACAACCGTGAGCCTCCGGCCTCACCTGATCCCAGATTCCTTCTTGTCCTCCTGTGCTGTTTCCTTCAGCCTTTGGAGCTCGTGTTTCGGGATACTCGCGCGCACGGTGAAAGGCATGTCGAGCAATCCCCCTGAGGCTGGAAAGGACGGACATGGTCAGAAGTGGGGTGCTGCTGCTGCCGACATCGGTCCCAGGGGGGTGCATAGGGTCTAGGATCCCCATCCTCCTGCCTTCCCCATGCACAGGCACTGTGGCCACTTCCCATCCCAGGGCTCAGTTTTGGGGAAGCCACCAAGAAAGATGTGGGGACAACAGGCTGTGCCCAGCTGGCGGGCAGAGTTTTGGGGCAGGCTGGAGCCTTGGGAGCACCCACACCAGGGCATGAGCCCACTGGATCCCAAAACTGGGCCACCCGTGCCACGGGAAGGAGCCGGCCGCTGCTTTACCTTTCTTGCCCTGGCTGAGAGGTGGCAAGACCCCGTCCTTCTTCTTTTTCTCCTTCCCAGGGAGTTTCTCTGGGGCCTTGGATGATTTCCTGTATGACGATTTGGGCACCAACTCCACTGCAAACCTGCACGCAAGGAGAGGACCCTGGTGTGACATTCGGCACGAGCTGCCCTTTCTGCTCTCTGTCGTCGCCTGCTCATGGGCACGTTTTCACATTCCATAGAGGCTGCTTTTGGCCAAATGGTACCAAAAAGGAGCTGAGCAGCTGCACTGAGCAGCCGACTTTGCAAATATACTTACTCGGGGAAGATGACGACACGGCCAGAGGATGTCAGGGAGGCTATGACTGCCAGCCGGGACACCACGGTGTCCATCAGCTGCGGGACCTGCAGGGGGGAGAACAGAGGTGGGAGAATATCCCTGGTGGGGGGGATCCCAAGATCCCAGAGCGGGCAGGACCGTCCCTTTGGCCTGGCCTGAGCCATTCCGACATGCTTTCGGATTGCCTGGAGCAAAACAAAGCCCCTCACCTTCAAAACGGCATTCTGAAGGTCCTCCTTGCCACACAGCATCTCCAGGACGTCGTAGTAGAATTTCATCTCCACCCTGGTGCCTTCTATGAGGAGCACGCCCAGGTCCCTCAGGACGAGGGCGACGTTCTCCCCCTCCCGCAGGCACTGGGAGATGAGGGCCATGGTGCCTCGGATGCAGCTCTCAGCTTTCTGCCAGGACACGCAGGCGTCCGCCGCCACCTCGGCACGTCTCAGGGGCTCCAGCTTCTTGTGGGCTGGAAAACCACACGGGATGGATGTTGTTAGGCACCCGGCAGCCTTTCATGCATCTCCCCCACGTGCTGCTTGTTGCAGCCATCCCCCCAATGCCCCAGCTTTGGGCTGGCTCCGTGGCTTGGCTTTTGAGCACGGAGGCCATGCCCCACATGCCCCGGCCGTGCAGCCAGCAAGGTTTCATCCAGCACCTTACCTGGCAGGCTGCCGTTGCTGTCCTCAAGGTGGTGTGTGTTTATGAGGTTCGTGGCCAGGTGAAACACCGGCCACTGGAAAATCATCGCCTTGTCCCCAGCTTGGATCCGTTTCTGGATTATATCGAAGGAGCCCAGAGTGGGGATTCGGACACCCTGCGAGTGGAAGGGAAGGGGCAAAGGGTGAGGACAGGCCGGAGGAAGAGCTGGAGGTGGCCCCATTCCAGTCCTTTCCCTCCCCTTGCCCTTCCGAAAACGCTCTGCTGCAGTCAAGGCAGAAGCAGCCTGAGGGGACCCAGGGGCCTCCAATGACTGGGATCGGCCCTGAGACACGACACCACCTACCACAAGGGATACCGTGCCTGCGTGGTGCCTGTCAGCCCCTCGGTGGGGACTTTTGGGGTGAGTTCCCTGCTTTCCGGGGAGGGGAAGGGTCACTACAGCCCGTGGCCCCGAGCTGTGGGGACTCCCCTGACTTGGAGAAGCCAAGCAGAGAAGTTGGACTCGGCGCCGACCCACCTTGTATTGCAGGAGCTGCTGCAGCACGTAGTTGGCCACCGCATTCCAGACGTCTGTTTGCTCTGGAAAGCAAAGGAAAACCTGGTCACAGTGTGTCTGGTGGTCCCACACCTCCAGCAGCACCCCGAGACCCGATGTTTGGTGCCTGCTCACGCTGGGTCTGGTGGTCCCACAGCTCCAGCAGCATCCCCAGAGCCGGGGTTCGGTGGCAGATGAAAAGCCCCAGCGGAGACACCCCGCCATGGCTCCGCCACTGGGTCTCGCCCAAGGAAAGCCCCAAATGTGGTTGCCAACACTACTCCTGTGGTACCCGTACCTTTGGCGGTGATGTTGGGCATCAGGCACCTGCGCTGCATGCCGTCCCACAGTCTACCCGGGACGACTTAATGCAGGAGGGCTTCCTCTCCTTGGCAGAGGTCGCGTTCAGGCTCATCTCTGCACTCGTCCTCTGAACGATCCAGAGTGCAGGAGCCCGCGCCCACGTCCCCTTTTATACTCTAGCCAGGCTGTGTCATGCCATTGTGACACGGCCACCGCTCTATTGTGACACGGCCACCGCTCTATTGTGACACAGCCACTGCTCTATTGTGACACGGCCACTGCTCTGCTGACCAGGGAGATGTGGGTCGTGAGGCGCCAGTACCTCCCAGTCCATACCAGGCCTTCTGTAATCATGGATCAAGAAGTTTCGAGGCCCCTGGATCTTTCTCAGATAACCTCTGACGACCTTAATGTTGCGTCCTGTTAATAGAAGAGGGCGCGATGGTGGGTGGAGAAGTGTGCTTTGGGTGGCTCTGTCCTTCTGTGGATCTCCACGTGCATCCTTTAAGCTGGTCAAGGAGTAAATAGCATACCTACGGGCACAGTAACACGGCCATACCTCGCTGTTTTGGGCCACCTCACTTGATGTGGGGTTGCTGTATGATGGGGAGGACTGGTTTTGGGAGGAGCACGAATACTGCAGCCAACTCAGCGGTCTGGTCCCGTGTGTACAGAGCTCCTTCTATCATGGTGAAACCACTGAGGTCTGGGGGACTGGAACTCACCACATGTCTGCTAGGAAATACCTAACCTTCACTTGGGCTTTTGACCCCATTTCCACAGCATTCTCCTGGAGAAACTGGCAGCTCGAGGCCTGGACGGGTGTACGCTTTGTTGGGTTAAAAACTGGGCCCAAAGAGTCGTGGTGAATGGGGTTAAATCCAGCTGGAGGCCGGTCACTGGTGCTGGCCCCCAGGCATCAGTACTGGAACCACCAGCAGTGTTTTTGCTCCTGGGCTCTGCCAGGCCCACCCAAAAAGCCCTTCTCTTCCCAACACGCCTCCAAAGCTGCAAACAAACCCTCTCCCCTCCGGCCACGAGCAGCCTCCTGCTTTGTTAGGCCTTCCCCACGCTGACAGGAGACGTGGCCTGCTGTGTCTGCGTGTCAGCAGAAGGGGGGACAACGCTGCAAAAGGGGGGACTTGTGTCTAAGGGCTGCAGGGAACGCAGCCACTCCATCGAGCAGCACCAAGGGGGCTCCCAACAGCCCCACTGCCCCCCAAACTCTGCCTTCCTACAAGGAGACAGCACCCAGCAAGGACTCAAATGTGAATCTACAGCATCTCCCTGCCACTGCCTCAAAGGAGGTTGGAAGGGTAGGGATCATTCCAGTGATTCTATGGTTCAAAACATTGCTTTGGTCTGAAAACTTACCATTTGAGACCAAAAGTAGGGCTTTTGACCCCCAAAGTGAAGCTTTAGATGATAAAAGAACCTTTGGGCTGCGAAAATGGGGTCTCAGGTCCTAAGGATAGGACTTCGGGTGTACAGATGAGGCTTTTGAGTCTAAAAATGAGACTTTGGATAATAAAGTGATTGGGTTCAAAAAAATAATGATGTTTTGGACATAAAAAGCTGGGGCTTTGAACATGCACATGAGGTTTTGGTTCACATATATGAGACTTTGTGTGCTAAAAATGGAAGTTTGGAAAAATAGAACAGGCTTTGGATGCTAATGTTGGTCTTGACCCTGAAAATGAGTCTTTAGACAGTAAAATGAGGCTTTGTACTGGCCGATTGATGGTTTTAGCCTTAATATTGAAGCTTTGGACTTATCAAATGAGCATCTAGGCCCTAAAAACATGACTTTAAGTAAAGAAAACATGGCTCTGGCCCCTAAAAATGAGGCTTTAGTTACAAACAGATGACACTCTGGTGCCTAAATTGAGGATTTGGATAACAAAAATGAGACTTCAGACTCTAAAATGAAGCTGTGAGCATAACACTGAGCTTGGATTCTCAGTGGAGGCTCTGGACACTGAAAATGAGGCTTTGAATCCTGAAACTGGAGCTTTGGACGCTCCAAAATGGGCTGTGGGGTCAAAGAATGAGGCTTTGTGTCCTAAACATCAGGCTTTGGACTGAGCAAATGAGGATTTGAGCCCTAGCTTTGAGGCTTTGGAAACTGAAAATGAGGCTCTGGACTCTAAAAGCGAAAGTTCACATGCTGGTGAAGTCCTCGTGAGTGACCTGCCCCTTCTTCCCAAGGCCATAAACCCGCTTTTTCTTCCCGAGCTCTAGCCAGAGCTACAGTGTCAGAGCTTGATGTTTTGGGCCTGAGGGCCAAAAGCCTAATGTTTTGGTCTGAAACCCTCCTTTTATGGCACAAGGCATCCAACTGTTCAACCCCTCCTGTTGAACTCCCAGGGCCTAACACAAAGTACCTAGAGCCTCATTTTGGGTTAAAACACCAGTACTGAAAGGTCAACGCCTTTATTTAGAGAACAGGCCATTTCATAATCTGCTCCATGAGCTGCCCTGGCACCAAGAGCAGACTGACAGGCCTGCAGCTCCCTGGACCCTCCTTCTGCCCCTTCTTTTGGATAGGCGTCACATTTGCTAGCTGCCACTCAGCTGGGACCTCCCTAAAACAGCCCTGCGCTCATCCTCTGAACAATCCACGCTTGGAGCCTACAGACCGGGGCTTAGGCCCTGAAGAGAAGGGCTTGGGGCCTAAAGAGAGGGTCTGGGCCCTAAAGAGAGGGGTTTGCGGCCTGAAAGAGAAGGGTTTGGGCCCTAAAAAGAGGGTTTTGGGCCCTAAGGAGGATTTGGGCCCCAAAGAGCAGGGTTTGGGTCTCAAAGAGAAGGGTTTGGGCCCTAAAGAGAGGGTTTGGGGCCCTAAAGAGAGGGGTTTGGGGCCTGAAGAGAAAGGTATGGGGCCTAAAGAGAGGGGTTTGGGGCCTGAAGAGAGGGTTTTGGGCCTGAAAAAGAAGGGTTTGGGGCCTAAAGAGAGGGGTTTGGGCCTAAGGAGAAGAAGGGTTTGGGCCTTAAAGAGAGGGTGTGGGGCTTAAAAAGCAGAAGGGTTTGGGCCGGAAAAAGTGGGGTTTGAGCCCTAAAGAGAGGGGTTTGGGGCCTAAAGAGAGGATTTGGGCCTGAAGGGAGGGGTTTGGGCCTAAAGAGAGGGGTTTGGGCCTAAAGAGAGGGGTTTGGGGCCTGAAGAGAGGGTTTGGGGCCTGAAAAAGAAGGGTTTGGGGCCTAAAGAGAGGCTTTGGGCCTGAAGGGAGGGGTTTGGCCTAAAGAGAGGGGTTTGGGGCCTGAAGAGAGGGTTTTGGGCCTGAAAAAGAAGGGTTTGGGGCCTAAAGAGAGGGGTTTGGGCCTAAAGAGAGGGGTTTGGGGCCTAAAGAGTGGGGTTTGGGCCTGACGGGAGGGGTTTGGGCCTAAAGAGGGGTTTGGGGCCTAAAGAGAGGGGTTTGGGGCCTAAAGAGTGGGGTTTGGGCCTGACGGGAGGGGTTTGGGCCTGAAGGGAGGGCTTTAGGCCCTGAAGGGAGTGGTTTGGGCCCTAAAAGGAGGGGTTTGGTCACTAAAGGGAGGGGCAAACATTTATGGTGTATTACAGTCATGGTGACGGTGGCCCTGTTGGCAGTTATGACGTAAGTGATGACCTCATTAGCCGTGTCACAATGGGGTGGGGGGCGGTGGCAGGGTATAAAAGGGGTGGGGGTGGCGCAGGGACCCTTCATCTCTGGAGAAATATCCGGAGAGCGAGCGCAAGGATGCAAAAACGCGTCACTTTTGCCGACGAGGTGCTGCCCAACGTGAGGCGGACCCCTGTCCACTTCTGGGATGGGATGAAGGTCCCGTGCCTCACGCCCAGCATCACCTCCAAGGGTAGGTGCCGAAATTTGGGGCTTTTTGTGGCGCGGAGACCTGGCTCTGTGTGGAGGTCTCTTTTTTTTGGGGTCGGGGATGTGATGGATCTTTATGTAACGGGGTTTTGGTAGGCGCCTAAATTTGGGTGGGGCTTTTTGTGGGGGGGAGACCTGGCTCTGTGTGGTAGGGTCTCTGTTTTTTGGGGTCGGGGATGTGATGGATCTTTATGCAACGCGGGTTTTGGGGTGATGGAAGGGTGGTAGCCACGAGAGGCGGTGTGTGACCAGATTTTTTTTTGCCTTTCAGAGAAAATAAGCGTCTGGGATGCGGTGTCAGCCTACATCCACGAACACCTCCTGCTGCACCAGGTGGGTTGGCACCCCCGTCCCCCTCGTTCCCCTCCTGAAAAGCAGGAAACTCACCCCAAAAAGCCCCACAGGCATCGCACAAGCGCGGTTGTGGTAGGCGGTGTGACGTCTGATCCTTAACCATTTTTCTTTCTTTTCTCTGCCATTTCCAGGGCGTCCGAATTCCTGCCCTCGGCTCCTTCGACGTTGTCCCCAAATTGGTGAAGGACGGGAACAAGACCCTGATTTTGCAGATGCCCACGTTCCGCCTGGCCAGGAACCTCGTCGTCACCCACAGCCTCACCGCCAACAAGGAGTACCTGCCAGGTAGGGCAGGGGGTTAATCCCCTGCTGACCCCCCCTCAATATCAGGTGTTTCCCCCCCCAAAAATAAATCAAAGCATCCCCTGCATGGAGCAGGACTGTGGTGGTTTGACTCGGGTGGGCGGCTGAGCTCAACCACAGCCCCTTTCTCACTCCCCCCTCAAAGAGGGGAGAAAAGATGTGAAAAGGGCTCAAAGTTGAGATAAGGATTAGCTCCCACACGGCTCCGTCCCACGGGGTCCCCCCCCCGTCCCAAACTGCTCCATCCTGGGTCCCCCACAGGCAGCAGCTCCCCCAGACGCCCTCCTCCTGCGTGGGCTCCTCTGCAGGGGCTGCAGCGCGGAGATCTGCTCCGTGTGGCACCCATGGGTGCAGGGGACAGCTCTGCTCCACCAGGGACCCCCCTACAGGCTGCAGGGGGGCTTCTCCCCCTCCTCCTTCACTGCCCTGGGTGTCTGTGAGGCTGTTCCTCACCCCTCGCTCCCCCAGCTGCCATCCCCCAGCAGGTTTTGTTTGTTCGTTTTTGTTTGTGTTTTGTTGTTGTGTTTTTGTGGTTTTTTGTTTTGTTTTGTTTTGTTTGTTTGTTTTGTTTGTTGTTTGTTTTGTGATTTTTTGCTTTGTTGTTTTTTTGTTTTTTTTTTTTTTTTTGTGTGTGGTTTGTTTTGATAGTTATTGTTTTTTTTTTTTTGCACCTTTTTTTTTTTTTGTTCTGTTTTTTATTTTTCAGTTTTTTTGTTTCGTTTTTGTTTTTTTTTTTTCTCCCTTCTTACTATTGATTATGTTTTTGCTTTTTGTGTTTGGTTTTTGGTTTGTGGTTGTTTTCTGTTTTTTTTGTGTTCTTTTTTTTTTTTTTTTTTTGTTTGTTTTTTTTTTTGTTTTTTGTTTTTTTTTTTTTTTTTTTTTTTTTTTTTTTTTTTTTTTTTTTTTTTTTTTTTTTTTGTTGTTGTTTGTTTGTTTTTTTGTTGCTTGGTTTGTGATTGTTTTGTTTTGTTTTAGATTTTTTGTTGTTTTTTTGTATGTTCGTTTGTGTTTTGTTTTGTTTTTGTTTTTGTTTTTTGTTTTGGTTTTGGTTTGTTTTTTATTGTTTGTTTGTGTGTTTTTTTGTTGTTGTTGGTTTGTTTGTGATTGTTTGTTTGTTTGTTTTTTTATGTTTTTTTTTTTCTGTCTCCAATCTGCTCTCCCAGAGGCACAAAAAACCTCGCTTACTGCCCAGGCTCTGGCCAGCAGCAGGACCCTTCCCCAACACGGGGGACGCCTGCCACGGGGAAGGGCTGCTGGTGACCGCCCCCATCCCTCTCGTGTCGTTTTCCAGGCCACAAGGAGCTGGAGCCCCTCCACTACCCCGAGGTGGCCGCCCAAATCTGCCTGTCCTCGCAGAGGGTGGAGAGCTGCATCCAGGGCACCACGTCCCTCATCTCTCGCTGCGTGGGGAAGGGGGAGAACATCGCCCTGGTCCTGAGGGACGTGGGGGTGCTCCTCATCGAAGGCACGAGGGTGGAAATGAAATTCTATTCCGAATTCCTGCAGAAGGTGTCCGGGAAGGAGAACCTTCAAAAAGCCTTTTTCAAGGTGAGGGTTTTGTTTTCCCCACGGCCTGGGCAGCCTCACAAAGGGGTAGCAACGCTTGCCCTTGGCCCACCGAGACCTTTTGGGTTGGAGTTTTTGGCCACGACCGAGGCCAGAGGACATTTGCCATCTCCTTGCAGGTCCCCCAGCTGATGGACGTGGTGGTGTCCCGGGGGGCACCCTTGGCCTCCCTGACCTTCTCTGGCCGTGTCATCGTCTTCCCCGAGTGAGTATTTTTGTGGCTGTGGCCGCTGCTCGGGTTCTCCTTGCACCCATGGGTGCTTCTTTGCTGGACGAGCCCATTGCAAAGTCCAGGAAGGAATTTGGGGATGGGGCTTTGATGGCAACGTGGAAATGGGGTGATTGTGGCGCGCCCTGGGGTCACGCTGAGGTCTTCTTTTGCCAGGTTTGAGATGGAGAGCATGCCCAAAAAAACGCCCCAGGAGCACTCCAAGGAGAAGAAAGAAGGGGCTTTTCCTCTTCTCGGCCAAGCTGGGGGAAGAAAAGCAGCTGCTGGTTCCCTTCGAAGGGACGGGAAACTGAGTCCTGGTGAGAAAACCCATCGTGGAGCACCCAAAAGCTCTGCCTTGCACCACATCTTGTCACCGCGCCTCCAAAACGGAGCCCCCGGGTGCGAGGTGCCTGATGTGCCCGGCCCTGGGCGCTGCAGGAGGACGGGGATCAAGACACCCCCTAAAATTGGCCGTAGCCAGCTCCTTTCTCCCAGAACTCGGCCCCCCAAAAAAATATTGAGGCTTAGAAAGGAGCCGGGCGAGGGCTGGTGCCAAGGAGGGTCTCGGGGAGCAGCCTCAGCACCCGGCGTGTCCCCGGGGACGGCGGCATCACGGAAATGTTCTTCTAACACCTCTCCTTCCCAAATTTTAGGCAAAGGTCTCGGGCTTCCTTCCCTTGCCCCCACGGGGTCGACAGAAGAAGCAGCCCTGAAGGGGGAGGCGCAGAAGGCAGGGAAGGCTCCCTTGAGGTGAGGCTGGGGGCTCCAAATGGGTGGGATGAGGCCGCCGGGAGCCCCCCCAAATTTCAGGGCTGCAGCATCCAGCGCTGCATGAGGGGGTGGGGGGTGCAGGATGCGACCCCAAAACCATCCTGGATTCTTGGTTCTTCCATCAGGCTGCCGGCCATCCCGGGGACTCCTCGCAAGGCCGAAAAATCGTCACCCAAAGGCAAAACGGGACAGGCAAAGACACCCGGAGCCTGAGGCAGAGAGCAGGAAGAGGAGCGGGGATGTTTCCCCCCTGCGTGGGGGAAAACCCGGCAGCCAAAAAGCCCCCCCGGCCCCCGGGACCCACAGAGCTGTCCTTCCCCGTGATAAGCGTCTCATCACCGGCCAGCTCGGAGGCCAGCCTCCCCGAGGAGCCCCCCTACAACGTCTACAGGCTGCAGCCCCCGGGAAAAGAGGGGGCAGAAAGGTTAAAAAACAGGCCTGAAACCTTCTGGACGGTGCTAAAAGAACCTCAGAAGAAGGCGTTATCCGTGAACGGCACCAACAGCACCCGCCCGGTGGCACCCGCGCCCCGAAAACCCGTGTCAGCCCAACCCAAACCGCCAAAAACTGGGCCGGGGCTCTCCGTTTTGTGGCCCCGGCCACCCTAAACTTCGGGCTTTGAGCGCCCGACCCAGCGAGGAGGCCATCGGAGTTGGCAAAAAGAGGTGGGTGATCCACATCAGCATCATTTTGGGGGGCTCAAGCCTTGTAGGGAAGCAGAGTTTTTTGGGGACAGCGGGGTCTTTCCAAAGGGATCTCAGTTTTGAGCCACGGGTTGGCTCAATCCACCCCAAACCTTTGTCTCCTCCAGCACTAGACTCAAATCCCCAAATTTCTCTCTTTCTGTTGGCGCACAGACAACACCAGTCCACGTTTTTTAGGGTTTGGAAGGCCTCAAAAAGCTCTTGGCCACAGAGGAGAGGGTGTTTTTTTTGTAGCTGGGTGCTGCTTTCAAGGCTTTTTGGGAAAAGAAAGGCTTTTTTTGTGCGGGCCTAGCAGAATTTAGGAGCAAAACCCCGCTGCTGGCCAGGGCCTGGGGAAAATATGAGGTGAAAAACGAGGGAAAGGTGGCCCTGACATCACTGTCAGGATTGAAACCATCCCCAGCCTGTGCATGAGGGTATAGAAGGCTAAAAAAAATCTAAAAAGTGATTTTTTTCTCTGTTTCTTCGCAGATTTCCATCGTTCTTCCTGACACGATTGCCTCAGGAAGGAGGTGGAGGAAAACACGATGGAATCCCAAAAAAACTGTTGAGTTTTTGTTTTTATTTACGAGGCTCGTTCGTGAGGAGGGGGGTGAAGGTTGCTTTCCAGACAGGTTCAAAGCCCCCAAAACCATCAGCACCTCCCAAAAAGTGGGGCCCAAGGCTCCTTGTAAGTTTGGAGTCCCTGAGGTCCTTTGCAGTCCCCTCCTCCTGCCACGCCCCAGCTTGGCAGAATTCCACAGCTCAGAACAAGGAAAAAACGTCAAACCAAGGGATTATAACTAATAAATTTTAATAGTGCAAAGTATTTTGAGGGAGGAGAAGGGAAAAATTCGCGAACGTGAGGAATTTTGGCTCAGCTTTGCCACCCGGATGGTGGCAGGCTTTTAGCTCCACTGCAAAGTGTAGGCTTTGCCTAATTCCAGTTCCAGCTGGGTGGTTAAAAGGACCTTGAAAAAGCAAAAGAAAATTAAAAAAAAAACGGTGAGTTATTCAGATCTGAAGACATCTTGCTTTTTTGTTTCTCATACATTACCAAAACTTTGCCTAAGTGCCATAAATTTCTTTATTCCGGATCATGAGGTTCTCATCCCCTCCCCCCCCCCCCTTTATTTTGGGGGCTAAACCCCCCAGTTTTGGGGGCCTAATGCTTCATTTTGGGGGTAAACCGACAATTTTGGGGTCCTAATGCCTCATTTTCAGGCTAACCCCCCAGTTTTGGAGGCCTAATGCCTCATTTTGGGGATTAAATCCCCCCATTTAGGGAGCCTAATGCCTCATTTATGGGCTAAACCCCCCCGTTTTGGGGGCCTAATGCTTCATTTTGGGGATAATCTATGATTCTATGATTCTATGAATTTTGGGGTCCTAATGCCTCATTATGGGGACTAAAACCCCCAATATGGCGGGCCTAATGCCTCATTTTGGGGGCTAAACCCCCCAGTTTAGGGGCCTAATGCTTCATTTTGGGGGTAAACCGACAATTTTGGGGACCTAATGCCTCATTTTGGGGATTAAACCCCCAATTTTGGGGGATAATGCCTCATTTTCAGGCCTAACCCCCCAATATGGCGGGCCTAATACTTCAGTTTGGGTGTTCAGCTGATTCAAGGATGGAAGCTGAAATTCCTTGAAGTGACCCCACAACCCCGTAACCCCCCCAAAAAATCCTGCCCCCTCCCTTGTGCCCCCCCCGGCCGGCCACTTATGGTGCAGGTGATGGTTTTGGGGGTGCCGGTCCCCTCGAAGCCCCAGCTGAGGTGGTTGTGGCCCCTGTAGGCCGGCACCATGGGGGGGGGCTCGGGGGAGCTGTTAAAGGGGGGGGTCAGTTGGGGGGGGGGGTTCGGGGGGGGCTCGCTCAGCTCCAGGGGGCACAGGTCCTGCTGGGGAGGGGACAGGGGGCAGCCTTGGGGCACCCCAGTGGCAGGGACCCCGTGGGAGGCCCGGGTCCCTTTTTGGGGTCATTCAGGCGCCTTTTGGGGTCACCCAGGTCCCTTTTGGGGCACCCAGGTCCCTTTTTGGGGTCATTCAGGCGCCTTTTTGGGGTCATTCAGGACCCTTTTGGGGCACCCAGGTCCCTTTTTGGGGCACCCAGGTCCCTTTTGGGGTCATCCAGGTCCCTTTTGGGTGCCAGGGTCGCCTTTTTGGGACATCCAACCCCTTTTTGGGGTCATCCAGGACCCTTTCGGGGCACCCAGGTCCCTTTTTGGGGTCATTCAGGCGCCTTTTGGGGCACCCAGGTCCCTTTTTGGGGTCATTCAGGACCCTTTTGGGGCACGCACGTCCCTTTTGGGGTCATCCAGGTCCCTTTTGGGTGCCAGGGTCGCCTTTTTGGGACATCCAAGCCCCTTTTTGGGGTCATTCAGAACCCTTTTGTGGAACCCAGGTCCCTTTTGGGGTCACCCAGGTCCCCAATGCTTCATTTTGGGGATAAACCGACAATTCTGGGGGCCTAATGCCTCATTTTGGGGCTAAAACCCCAGTTTGGCTGGGATCTCTCGGAAAGCAGTCTTGACCAGGACCCCTTGTGGGACCCTTATGGGGCCTCCTGGGTGACCCCACAACCCCGTAACTCCCCCCAAAAAATCCTGCCCCTCCCCTGTGCCCCCCCCGGCCACGTACGGTGCAGGTGACGGTTTTGGAGTGCCGGTCTCCTGGAAGCCCAGCTTTTTGGGGTCATCCAGGATGCTTTTGGGGCACCCAGGTCCCTTTTGGGGGTCATTCAGGACCCTTTTGTGGACCCAGGTCCCTTTTTGGGGTCATTCAGGACCCATTTGGGTGCCAGGTTCCCTTTTTTCGGGACACCAGGTCCTTTTTGGGGTCATCTAGGTCCCTTTTGGGGACAGCTGGGTGTCAGGGCCCCTTTTTGGGGATACCCAGGTCCCTTTTTGGGACATCCAAGCCCCTTTTTGGGGTCATCCAGGTCCCTTTTGGGGTCATTTTGGGGACAGCCGGGTGCCTTGGCCCCTTTTGGGAAGAACCCACAACCCCGGCTGCTTTTTTTGGGGGGGACCCCTGGAAATCCGGGACCCCATTGGGGTCACCCAGGTGCTGGGGTCCTTTGGGGACACCGGGACCCCCCCTTGGGGACACCAGGACTGGGGTCCCCTACAGGGGGGGACACACACAGAGGGGACGGCGCTGTCACTGGGGGGGGACACCTGGGGGTCCCCTGTAATGGGGGGGGCACCCAGATCGCCTTGGGGGGGGCATCTGGGTCTCTGGGGGGAAATTTGGGCCCTGAAGAATCGTTTTTTCGTTTTGCCCTGAAGGGAACGGTTTGGGCCCTAAAGAGAAGGTCTGGGGCCCGAAAAAGAAGGGCTTGGGCCCTAAAAATCGGGGCTTAGGCCCTGAAGAGAGGGGATTGGGCCCAAAAGGGAGGGATTTGGGTCCTAAAAGTAGGATTTGGGCCCTAAAGGGAAGGGTTTGGGCCCTAAAGGGAAGGGTTTGGGCCCTAAATAGGAGGCGTGAGGCTCTAAAATTAATAGTGGAAACCCTCTGAAGGAAGTTTTGGACCCCAAAATGAGGTATAGGAGACTGGAAATAACCCTGATCTAAAAAATTAGTCTTTGGACCATAAAAAGCAGGATCTGGATCCTAATTTGATGTTTTGGATCGTAAAACAGACGCTTGGATCTTAAAACCAGTGCCTTGAGCTCTCAAAAGCAGTTTGGGGTTCGGACCCCGAAAGGAAGCTTTGGGCTCTTGTAATGGGGTGTGGACACTCAAATGTGGCTTTTGGGTTCCAAAATGAAGGCTTTGGGCCCCCAAAAGGGGCTTGGGGCACTAAAAATGGTGCTTTAGGTGCGTGCGATGGGACTGCGGCTCAGAGCAGCCAAAGCCCAAATGCGGAATGGCACCACAAGGGCAGCTCTGAGGAAAATTAACTTATTACATTAATTAATTATAAATTAATTATAAAATTAATTATGCCTCCCAGGGGGAAATAAATAACAAACTGCACGGCCCAAGTCCCATTCCTGCCCCTTTGGCATCTGCAGCCGCCTGCCCCAAGTCAGCCGGGTGCAAATCCTTGTTTTTAATGTCATGTCCCGATTAAAACAGCACTTTGGGGAAAATGAAAGCAAAAATTAAAGCCAAATAAATAGAGCAAACTTGCCAGCACTACGGTTTTGGGTTTGGTTTGGTGCCTTTTATTGCTAATGTGCAAAAACAAGCGAACTCGGACACGCACCCCAATCCTTTTTGGGTTTTGCTTCTTGAGGCAACGCTTCCAAATTTCCAAAATCTTGGATTCTGTGGGGGTCTCTCCTGTTCCAGGCGCCTTGCTCTGGCCGGTTTGGGTTCCAGCGTCTCGGATGTGCTGTCCAGGGTGGGCAGAATGTCCTCTCTTCATTCTTCTCCTGGGACCCCCTGAGATGTCGATGGCCCCATTTTGTCCATCCCTGGTGTTCCGCTTCAGGCTGTGAGTTTGTCCTGCTCTTGGCTGGCCAAAGGCTGGTTTTTGGCAAGAGGCAGCCCCGGGATTGCTGGCAGCTGGCTGAAAACACATCAAAAATGTCTGCATGAGCACACGATGGCACTGGGGCCGCATCCCGCACCCTGAAAACATGACCCTGCTTGCACACCACGGGCCCCATCCACCCCTCCGGGTGCTGCTTTCAGCAATTTGGGGTGGCCCCAGCCCGGAGTGTTTGGGGCTGGGCGAGGGGTTCCCTGCTGGGGAGAAGACAACCGTGAGCCTCCGGCCTCACCTGATCCCAGATTCCTTCTTGTTCTCCTGTGCTTTGGTTTCCTTCAGCCTTTGGAGCTCGTGTTTCGGGATGCTCGCGCGCACGGTGAAAGGCATGTCGAGCAATCCCCCTGAGGCTGGAAAGGACGGACATGGTCAGAAGTGGGGTGCTGCTGCTGCCGACATCGGTCCCAGGGGGTGCATAGGGTCTCCGACCCCATCCTCCTGCTCAGGCACCGTGGCCATTTCCCACCCCAGGGCTCAGTTTTGGGGAAGCCACCGAGATGTGGGGACAACAGGCTGTGCCCAGCTGTGCCCGTCCCTTTGGCGGTGATGTTGGGCATCAGGCACCTGCGCTGCATGCCGTCCCACAGCTCTACCCGGGTCGGCTTCATGCAGGAGGGTTTCCTCTCCTTGGCAGAGGTCGCGTTCAGGCTCATCCCTGCGCTCGTCCTCTGAACAATCCACCCTTGGAGCCGACAGAACAGGGCTTAGGCCCTGAAGAGACGGGCTTGGGGCCTAAATTTGAGGGGTTTGGGGGCTAAGGAGAGGGTTTTGGGGCCTGAAGAGAGGGTTTGGGGCCTGAAAAAGAAGGGTTTGGGGCCTAAAGAGAGGGGTTTGGGGCCTAAGGAGAAGAAGGGTTTGGGCCTTAAAGAGAGGGTGTGGGGCTTAAAAAGCAGAAGGGTTTGGGCCGGAAAAAGTGGGGTTTGAGCCCTAAAGAGAGGGGTTTGGGGCCTAAAGAGAGGCTTTGGGCCTGAAGGGAGGGGTTTGGGCCTAAAGAGAGGGGTTTGGGACCTGAAGAGAGGGTTTTGGGCCTGAAAGAAGGGTTTTGGCCTAAAGAGAGGGGTTTGGGGCCTAAAGAGAGGTTTTGGGCCTGAAGGAGGGGTTTGGGCCTAAAGAGAGGGGTTTGGGCCTAAAGAGAGGGGTTTGGGCCCCAAAGAGAGGGTTTGGGCCTCAAAGAGAGGGTTTGGGCCCTAAAGAGAGGGTTTTGGGCCCTAAAGAGAGGGGTTTGCTGTTATTGTGCCAGGCATGGGGGCCGTGGGGGCCGCGGAGGCCGGGCTGGTGGCAGGCGGGCAGGTCTTCCAGGCACTGCTGGTGGCCCGTCCCGTGCCTTCCCATGTTATTGTGCCAGGCATGGGGCCGTGGGGGCCGCGGAGGCCGGGCTGGTGGCAGGCGGGCAGGTCTTCCAGGCACTGCTGGTGGCCCGTCCCGTGCCTTCCCATGTTATTGTGCCAGGCATGGGGGCCGTGGGCCGCGGAGGCCGGGCTGGTGGCAGGCGGGCAGGTCTTCCAGGCACTGCTGGTGGCCCGTCCCGTGCCTTCCCATGTTATTGTGCCAGGCATGGGGGCCGTGGGGGCCGCGAGGCCGGGCTGGTGGCAGGCGGGCAGGTCTTCCAGGCACTGCTGGTGGCCCGTCCCGTGCCTTCCCATGTTATTGTGCCAGGCATGGGGGCCGTGGCGGCCGCGGAGGCCGGGCTGGTGGCAGGCGGGCAGGTCTTCCAGGCACTGCTGGTGGCCCGTCCTGTGCCTTCCCATGTTATTGTGCCAGGCATGGGGGCCGTGGCGGCCGCGGAGGCCGGGCTGGTGGCAGGCGGGCAGGTCTTCCAGGCACTGCTGGTGGCCGTCCTGTGCCTTCCCATGTTATTGTGCCAGGCATGGGGGCCGTGGCGGCGCGGAGGCCGGGCTGGTGGCAGGCGGGCAGGTCTTCCAGGCACTGCTGGTGGCCCGTCCCGTGCCTTCCCATGCTATTGTGCCAGGCATGGGGGCCGTGGGGCCGCGGAGGCCGGGCTGGTGGCAGGCGGGCAGGTCTTCCAGCACTGCTGGTGGCGCTGGCGTCGGGCCTGGCTCTCAGGTCTAGCACGGTGTTTAGGCCTCCTGGATCGGCTGAAGGAGCTCTGGGCTGCCTGGGCTGCGGCGAGGCGCCGGCGGGGACAGGAATTGCTGAGGCCGTGCTGCGGCTGCGGTGCCAGGCGGGTGCTCCCGTCTCAGGGGCTCCAGCTTCTTGTGGGCTGGAAAGTACATGGGAGGGATGGCGTTAGTCACCCGGCGGCCCTTCACGCATTTCCCCCACGTGCTGCTCGTTGCAGCCATCACCCGAATTGCCCCAGCTTTGGGCTGGCTCCGTGGCTTGGCTTTTGAGCACGGAGGCCATGCCCCACATGCCCCGGCCGTGCAGCCAGCAAGGTTCATCCACCGCCTTACCTGGCAGGCTGCCGTTGCTGTCCTCAAGGTGGTGCGTGTTTTGAGGTTCGTGGCCAGGTGAAACACTGGCCACTGCAAAGTCATCGCCTTGTCCCCAGCTTGGATCTGGTTTTGGATTATGTCAAAGGAGCCCAGAGTGGGGATTCGGATGCCTGCGAGTGGCCACCACATTCCAGACATCTGTTTGCTCTGGAAAGCAAAGGAAAATCTGGTCACAGTGTGTCTGGTGGTCCACACCTCCAGCAGCACCCCGAGACCCGATGTTTGGTGCCTGCTCACGCTGGGTCTCGTGGTCCCACAGCTCCAGCAGCACCCCCAGAGCCGGGGTTCGGTGGCAGATGAAAAGCCCCAGCGGAGACACCCCGTCATGGCTCCACCACTGGGTCTCGCCCAAGGAAAGCCCCAAATGTGGTTGCCAACACTACTCCTGTGGTACCCGTACCTTTGGCGGTGATGTTGGGCATCAGGCACCTGCGCTGCATGCCGTCCCACAGCTCTACCCGGGTCGGCTTCATGCAGGAGGGTTTCCTCTCCTTGGCAGAGGTCGCGTTCAGGCTCATCCCTGCGCTCGTCCTCTGAACAATCCACCCTTGGAGCCGACAGACCAGGGCTTAGGCCCTGAAGAGACGGGCTTGGGCCTAAATTTGAGGGTTTGGGGGCTAAGGAGAGGGGTTTGGGGCCTGGAGAGGGTTTGGGCCTGAAAAGAAGGGTTTGGGGCCTAAAGAGAGGGGTTTGGGGCCTAAGAGAGGGTTTGGGCCTGAAAAGAGGGTTTGGGGCCTAAAGAGAGGGGTTTGGGGCCTAAGAGAGGTTTGGGCCTGAAGGGAGGGGTTTGGGCCTAAAGAGAGGGGTTTGGGCCTAAAGAGAGGGGTTTGGGGCCTAAAGAGAGGGGTTTGGGCCTGACGGGAGGGGTTTGGGCCTGAAGGGAGGGCTTTAGGCCCTGAAGGGAGTGGTTTGGGCCCTAAAAGGAGGGGTTTGGCTACTAAAGGGAGGGGCAAACATTTATGGTGTATTACAGTCATGGTGACGGTGGCCCTGTTGGCAGTTATGACGTAAGTGATGACCTCATTAGCCGTGTCACAATGGGGTGGGGGGCGGTGGCAGGGTATAAAAGGGGTGGGGGGTGGCGCAGGGACCCTTCATCTCTGGAGAAATATCCGGAGAGCGAGCGCAAGGATGCAAAAACGCGTCACTTTTGCCGACGAGGTGCTGCCCAACGTGAGGCGGACCCCCGTCCACTTCTGGGATGGGATGAAGGTCCCGTGCCTCACGCCCAGCATCACCTCCAAGGGTAGGTGCCGAAATTTGGGGCTTTTTGTGGCGGGGAGACCTGGCTCTGTGTGGAGGTCTCTTTTTGGGGTCGGGGATGTGATGGATCTTTATGTAACGTGGGTTTTGGTAGGCGCCTAAATTTGGGTGGGCTTTTTGTGGGGGGAGACCTGGCTCTGTGTGGTAGGGTCTCTGTTTTTTGGGGTCGGGGATGTGATGGATCTTTATGCAACGCGGGTTTTGGGGTGATGGAAGGGTGGTAGCCACGAGAGGCGGTGTGTGACCAGATTTTTTTTTGCCTTTCAGAGAAAATAAGCGTCTGGGATGCGGTGTCAGCCTACATCCACGAACACCTCCTGCTGCACCAGGTGGGTTGGCACCCCCGTCCCCCTCGTTCCCCTCCTGAAAAGCAGGAAACTCACCCCAAAAAGCCCCACAGGCATCGCACAAGCGCGGTTGTGGTAGGCGGTGTGACGTCTGATCCTTAACCATTTTTCTTTCTTTTCTCTGCCATTTCCAGGGCGTCCGAATTCCTGCCCTCGGCTCCTTCGACGTTGTCCCCAAATTGGTGAAGGACGGGAACAAGACCCTGATTTTGCAGATGCCCACGTTCCGCCTGGCCAGGAACCTCGTCGTCACCCACAGCCTCACCGCCAACAAGGAGTACCTGCCAGGTAGGGCAGGGGTTAATCCCCTGCTGACCCCCTCCCTCAATATCAGGTGTTTCCCCCCCAAAAAATAAATCAAAGCATCCCCTGCATGGAGCAGGACCGTGGTGGTTTGACTCGGGTGGGCGGCTGAGCTCAACCACAGCCCCTTTCTCACTCCCCCTCCTCAAAGAGGGGAGAAAAGATGTGAAAAGGGCTCAAAGTTGAGATAAGGATTAGCTCCCACACGGCTCCGTCCCACGGGGTCCCCCCCCGTCCCAAACTGCTCCATCCTGGGTCCCCCACAGGCAGCAGCTCCCCCCAGACGCCCTCCTCCTGCGTGGGCTCCTCTGCAGGGGCTGCAGCGCGGAGATCTGCTCCGTGTGGCATCCCATGGGTGCAGGGGGACAGCTCTGCTCCACCAGGGACCCCCCTACAGGCTGCAGGGGGGCTTCTCCCCCTCCTCCTTCACTGCCCTGGGTGTCTGTGAGGCTGTTCCTCACCCCTCGCTCCCCCAGCTGCCATCCCCCAGCAGGTTTTGTTTGTTCGTTTCTTTGTTTGTGTTTTGTTGTTGTTGTTTTTGTGGTTTTTTGTTTTGTTTTGTTTTGTTTGTTTGTTTTGTTTGTTTGTTTGTTTTGTTTTTGTTTGTTTTTTTTTCTTGGTTTGTTTCTGTGTTTTTTGTTTGTGTTTTTTTTGTTTCTGTTTTGTTTTTTGTTTTTTGTTTTTTTTTGTTTTTGTTTTTCTTTTTGTTTGTTTGTGTTTTGTTTGTTTGTTTTTTTGTTTTCTTGTTTGTATTTTTTTTGTTTGTTTGTTTTTGTTGGTTTGTTTGTGTTTTTTTGTTGTTGTTGCTTTTTTTGTTTTTTTGTTGCTTGTTTTGTTGCTTGTTTTTTTTTTGTTTTTTGTTTTTCTTTTTTTTTGTGTTGTTTGTTTGTTTTTTTGTTGCTTGGTTTGTGATTGTTTTGTTTTGTTTTAGTTTTTTTGTAGTTTTTTTTGTATGTTCGTTTGTGTTTTGTTTTGTTTTTGTTTTTGTTTTTTTGTTTTGGTTTTGTTTTGTTTTTTATTGGTTTGTTTGTGTGTTTTTTTGTTGTTGTTGGTTTGTTTGTGATTGTTTGTTTGTTTGTTTGTTTGTGTTTTTTTTTTCTCTGTCTCCAATCTGCTCTCCCAGAGGCACAAAAAACCTCGCTTACTGCCCAGGCTCTGGCCAGCAGCAGGACCCTTCCCCAACACGGGGCAGCTTCTAGATCCCTCTCACAGCACCCCCCTCCCCGTGCCCCCCTGCTGCCAAACCTTTTCTATCCAAAACCCACCACAAGGTCCCAAACCGAAGCCTTTTTGGGTGACGCCTGCCACGGGGAAGGGCTGCTGGTGACCGCCCCCATCCCTCTCGTGTCGTTTTCCAGGCCACAAGGAGCTGGAGCCCCTCCACTACCCCGAGGTGGCCGCCCAAATCTGCCTGTCCTCGCAGAGGGTGGAGAGCTGCATCCAGGGCACCACGTCCCTCATCTCTCGCTGCGTGGGGAAGGGGGAGAACATCGCCCTGGTCCTGAGGGACGTGGGGGTGCTCCTCATCGAAGGCACGAGGGTGGAAATGAAATTCTATTCCGAATTCCTGCAGAAGGTGTCCGGGAAGGAGAACCTTCAAAAAGCCTTTTTCAAGGTGAGGGTTTTGTTTTCCCCACGGCCTGGGCAGCCTCACAAAGGGGTAGCAACGCTTGCCCTTGGCCCACCGAGACCTTTTGGGTTGGAGTTTTTGGCCACGACCGAGGCCAGAGGACATTTGCCATCTCCTTGCAGGTCCCCCAGCTGATGGACGTGGTGGTGTCCCGGGGGGCACCCTTGGCCTCCCTGACCTTCTCTGGCCGTGTCATCGTCTTCCCCGAGTGAGTATTTTTGTGGCTGTGGCCGCTGCTCGGGTTCTCCTTGCACCCATGGGTGCTTCTTTGCTGGACGAGCCCATTGCAAAGTCCAGGAAGGAATTTGGGGATGGGGCTTTGATGGCAACGTGGAAATGGGGTGATTGTGGCGCGCCCTGGGGTCACGCTGAGGTCTTCTTTTGCCAGGTTTGAGATGGAGAGCATGCCCAAAAAAACGCCCCAGGAGCACTCCAAGGAGAAGAAAGAAGGGGCTTTTCCTCTTCTCGGCCAAGCTGGGGGAAGAAAAGCAGCTGCTGGTTCCCTTCGAAGGGACGGGAACTGACTCCTGGTGAGAAAACCCATCGTGGAGCACCCAAAAGCTCTGCCTTGCACCACATCTTGTCACCGCGCCTCCAAAACGGAGCCCCCAGTGCGAGGTGCCTGATGTGCCGGCCCTGGGCGCTGCAGGAGGACGGGGATCAAGACACCCCCTAAAATTGGCCGTAGCCAGCTCCTTTCTCCCAGAACTCGGCCCCCAAAAAAAATATTGAGGCTTAGAAAGGAGCCGGGCGAGGGCTGGTGCCAAGGAGGGTCTCGGGGAGCAGCCTCAGCACCCGGCGTGTCCCCGGGGACGGCGGCATCACGGAAATGTTCTTCTAACACCTCTCCTTCCCAAATTTTAGGCAAAGGTCTCGGGCTTCCTTCCCTTGCCCCCACGGGTCGACAGAAGAAGCAGCCCTGAAGGGGGAGGCGCAGAAGGCAGGGAAGGCTCCCTTGAGGTGAGGCTGGGGGCTCCAAATGGGTGGGATGAGGCCGCCGGGAGCCCCCCCAAATTTCAGGGCTGCAGCATCCAGCGCTGCATGAGGGGGTGGGGGGTGCAGGATGCGACCCCAAAACCATCCTGGATTCTTGGTTCTTCCATCAGGCTGCCGGCCATCCCGGGGACTCCTCGCAAGGCCGAAAAATCGTCACCCAAAGGCAAAACGGACAGGCAAAGACACCCGGAGCCTCGAGGCAGAGAGCAGGAAGAGGAGCGGGGATGTTTCCCCCTGCGTGGGGGAAAACCCGGCAGCCAAAAAGCCCCCCGGCCCCCGGGACCCACAGAGCTGTCCTTCCCCGTGATAAGCGTCTCATCACCGGCCAGCTCGGAGGCCAGCCTCCCCGAGGAGCCCCCCTACAACGTCTACAGGCTGCAGCCCCCGGGAAAAGAGGGGGCAGAAAGGTTAAAAAACAGGCCCGAAACCTTCTGGACGGTGCTAAAAGAACCTCAGAAGAAGGCGTTATCCGTGAACGGCACCAACAGCACCCGCCCGGTGGCACCCGCGCCCCGAAAACCCGTGTCAGCCCAACCCAAACCGCCAAAAACTGGGCCGGGGCTCTCCGTTTTGTGGCCCCGGCCACCCTAAACTTCGGGCTTTGAGCGCCCGACCCAGCGAGGAGGCCATCAGAGTTGGCAAAAAGAGGTGGGTGATCCACATCAGCATCATTTTGGGGGGCTCAAGCCTTGTAGGGAAGCAGAGTTTTTTGGGGACAGCGGGGTCTTTCCAAAGGGATCTCAGTTTTGAGCCACGGTTGGCTCAATCCACCCCAAACCTTTGTCTCCTCCAGCACTAGACTCAAATGCCCAAATTTCTCTCTTCTGTTGGCGCACAGACAACACCAGGCCATGTTTTTTAGGGTTTGGAAGACCTCAAAAAGCTCTTGGCCACAGAGGAGAGGGTGGTTTTTTTGTAGCTGGGTGCTGCTTTCAAGGCTTTTTGGGAAAAGAAAGGCTTTTTTTGTGCGGGCCTAGCAGAATTTAGGAGCAAAACCCCTGCTGGCCAGGGCCTGGGGAAAATATGAGGTGAAAAACAAGGGAAACGGTGGCCCTGACATCGGTGTCAGGGCTTGAAGCCTGTCCATGAGGGTAAAGAAGGCCAAAAAAAATCTAAAAACTTATTTTTTTCTCTTTTCTTCGCAGATTTCCATCGTTCTTCCTGACACGATTGCCTCAGGAAGGAGGTGGAGGAAAACACGATGGAATCCCAAAAAAACTGTTGAGTTTTTGTTTTTATTTACGAGGCTCGTTCGTGAGGAGGGGGGTGAAGGTTGCTTTCCAGACAGGTTCAAAGCCCCCAAAACCATCAGCACCTCCCAAAAAGTGGGGCCCAAGGCTCCTTGTAAGTTTGGAGTCCCTGAGGTCCTTTGCAGTCCCCTCCTCCTGCCACGCCCCAGCTTGGCAGAATTCCACAGCTCAGAACAAGGAAAAAACGTCAAACCAAGGGATTATAACTAATAAATTTTAATAGTGCAAAGTATTTTGAGGGAGGAGAAGGGAAAAATTCGCGAACGTGAGGAATTTTGGCTCAGCTTTGACCCGGGATGGTGGCAGGCTTTTAGCTCCACTGCAAAGTGTAGGCTTTGCCTAATTCCAGTTCCAGCTGGGTGGTTAAAAGGACCTTGAAAAAGCAAAAGAAAATTAAAAAAAAAACGGTGAGTTATTCAGATCTGAAGACATCTTGCTTTTTTGTTTCTCATACATTACCAAAAATTTGCCTAAATGCCGTAAATTTCTTTATTCCGGATCATGAGGTTCTCATCCCCTCCCCCCCCCCCTTTATTTTGGGGGCTAAACCCCCCAGTTTTGGGGGCCTAATGCTTCATTTTGGGGGTAAACCGACAATTTTGGGGACCTAATGCCTCATTTTCAGGTTAAATCCCCCAGTTTTGGAGGCCTAATGCCTCCTTTTCAGGCCTAACCCCCCAGTTTTGGAGGCCTAATATGTCATTTTGGGCCTAAACCCCCAATTTGGGGGCCTAATGGCTCATTTTCAGGCTCAACCCCCCAGTTTTGGGGTCCTAATGCCTCATTTTGGGGATGAAATCCCCCCATTTAGGGAGCCTAATGCCTCATTTATGGGACTAAAACCCCCAATATGGCGGGCCTAATGCTTCATTTTGGGGACTAAACCCCCCAGTTTTGGGGTCCTAATGCCTCATTTTGGGGATTAAATCCCCCCATTTAGGGAGCCTAATGCCTCATTTATGGGACTAAAACCCCCAATATGGCGGGCCTAATGCCTCATTTTGGGGACTAAACCCCCCAGTTTTGGGGACCTAATGCCTCATTTTGGGGATTAAACCCCCAATTTTGGGGGATAATGCCTCATTTTCAGGCCTAACCCCCCAATATGGCGGGCCTAATACTTCAGTTTGGGTGTTCAGCTGATTCAAGGATGGAAGCTGAAATTCCTTGAAGTGACCCCACAACCCCGTAACCCCCCAAAAAAATCCTGCCCCCCCCCTTGTGCCCCCCCCCGGCCACTTATGGTGCAGGTGATGGTTTTGGGGGTGCCGGTCCCCTCGAAGCCCCAGCTGAGGTGGTTGTGGCCCCTGTAGGCCTGCACCATGGGGGGGGCTCGGGGGGAGCTGTTGGGGGGGGGGGGGCAGTGGGGGGGGGGGGTGTTCGGGGGGGGGCTCGCTCGGCTCCAGGGGGCACAGGTCCTGCTGGGGAGGGAGGCTGGGGGCAGCCTTGGGGGCACCCCAGTGGCAGGGGACCTCGTGGGGAGGCCCGGGTCCCTTTTTGGGGTCATTCAGGAGCCTTTTGGGGCACCCAGGTCCCTTTTTGGGGTCATTCAGGTCCCTTTTGGGTGCCAGGGTCCCCTTTTTGGGACATCCAAGCCCCTTTTTGGGGTCATTCGGAACCCTTTTGTGGAACCCAGGTCCCTTTTGGGGTCACCCAGGTCCCTAATGCTTCATTTTGGGGATAAACCGACAATTTTGGGGGCCTAATGCCTTTTTTTGGGGGCTAAAACCCCAGTTTGGCTGGGATCTCTCGGAAAGCAGTCTTGACCAGGACCCCTTGTGGGACCCTTATGGGGCCTCCTGGGTGACCCCACAACCCCGTAACTTCCCCCAAAAAATCCTGCCCCCTCCCCTGTGCCCCCCCCCCGGCCACGTACGGTGCAGGTGACGGTTTTGGAGGTGCCGGTCTCCTGGAAGCCCAGCTTTTTGGGGTCATCCAGGACCCTTTTGGGGCACCCAGGTCCCTTTTTGGGGTCATTCAGGACCCGTTTGGGTGCCAGGGTCCCTTTTTTCGGGACACCCAGGTCCTTTTTGGGGTCATCTAGGTCCCTTTTGGGGACAGCTGGGTGCCAGGGCCCCTTTTTGGGGACACCCAGGTCCCTTTTGGGGACATCCAAGCCCCTTTTTGGGGTCATCCAGGTCCCTTTTGGGGTCATTCTGGGGACAGCCGGGTGCCTTGGCCCCTTTTGGGAAGAACCCACAACCCCGGCTTCTTTTTTTTTGGGGGGGACCCCTGGAAATCCGGGACCCCATTGGGGTCACCCAGGTGCTGGGGTCCTTTGGGGACACCGGGACCCCCCCCTTGGGGACACCAGGACTGGGGTCCCCTACAGGGGGGGGCACACACAGAGGGGACGGCGCTGTCACTGGGGGGGGACACCTGGGGGTCTCCTGTAATGGGGGGGGCACCCAGATCGCCTTGGGGGGGGGGCATCTGGGTCTTTGGGGGGGAAATTTGGGCCCTGAAGAATCGTTTTTTCGTTTTGCCCTGAAGGGAACGGTTTGGGCCCTAAAGAGAAGGTCTGGGGCCCAAAAAAGAAGGGCTTGGGCCCTAAAAATCGGGGCTTAGGCCCTGAAGAGAGGGGATTGGGCCCAAAAGGGAGGGATTTGGGCCCAAAAGGGAGGGATTTGGGCCCTAAAGGGAAGGGTTTGGGCCCTAAAGGGAAGGGTTTGGGCCCTAAAGGGAAGGGTTTGGGCCCTAAATAGGAGGCGTGAGGCTCTAAAATTAATAGTGGAAACCCTCTGAAGGAAGTTTTGGACCCCGAAATGAGGTATAGGAGACTGGAAATAACCCTGATCTAAAAAATTAGTCTTTGGACCATAAAAAGCAGGATCTGGATCCTAATTTGATGTTTTGGATCGTAAAACAGACGCTTGGATCTTAAAACCAGTGCCTTGAGCTCTCAAAAGCAGTTTGGGGTTCGGACCCCGAAAGGAAGCTTTGGGCTCTTATAATGGGGTGGTGGACACTCAAATGTGGCTTTTGGGTTCCAAAATGAAGGCTTTGGGCCCCCAAAAGGGGCTTGGGGCACTAAAAATGGTGCTTTAGGTGCGTGCGATGGGACTGCGGCTCAGAGCAGCCAAAGCCCAAATGCGGAATGGCACCACAAGGGCAGCTCTGAGGAAAATTAACTTATTACATTAATTAATTATAAATTAATTATAAAATTAATTATGCCTCCCAGGGGGAAATAAATAACAAACTGCACGGCCCAAGTCCCATTCCTGCCCCTTTGGCATCTGCAGCCGCCTGCCCCAAGTCAGCCGGGTGCAAATCCT